CCCCAAAACCCCAAAACCCCAAAATCCATAATCATTCATAAATCAAGGGGTATTTATTTTTATGATTATATTAGAAATATTTTTAGCCCAGAAATTAATCATAAAACGGAAGGTAGAATATTACTTGTTTTAGGCTTAGCCTTACTTTCTCTTTCAGATTGCATTGAAAAATTCTCATTTATATCCTTAAGAACATCTTCTTCACTTTAAGTCAGATGCTTGGAGGATTTTTTCTTAATTTATTTGACTTCCCTAAGGGCTTTATTGCCTCGAGAGGCATCAAACCTGTCATTCTACTTCGATTCTTCTTTCATAATAATTTCACGCGAATTAGCAAATATTGATGACCTATTTTAACTGTTGTACATCTGAATTGGAGGTATTCTATTAACACTAAGGAAACTAGAAATCTTTTCACTATTGTAAATCTCAGCAACAGTCTATGGAGTTTCTCCTTTTTCATTTTTAGAGTCATAGATGTTTATGCCATTTTCAGAGAGAATTTGAATGATTTCAATGTCATTTTGATAAGCTGCAATATGAGCGACCTTATTCCCATACTAGAAGTGGTAATTATATATAGATGTACCTTATCTTCAAGAGTCTTAACATCCTCTTTGCCTTGTTAGTCAGTTAGTATTTATTTTAAAAGAGGGAGATTCTTTGTGTAAGTTACAAAATGAGTATACTTCATCTTAAGCTGTAGAATGATAAGTAATTATTCTGCATTTAAGTGAAAATATTACATCAGTGAGAGTCATTTGATTCAGATTAGGGAAATCTTGTCTTAGTTTTGCATAGTTAGTCTCTTTTGCTAAACTATCTTACAGTCTGTAAATGTCCTAGGGGAAAATCAAAATGTTTTAATAGAATACAACTATAGCTTTATCTAGTTTTTTGGAACTACTGACACCCATTTTAAATTTTATATTACTGCTAATTTATTTAACATATGTTATTCATTATATTTGGGGTTTTGGGGTTTTGGGGTTTTGGGGTTTTGGGG